AGTATGTATATATATACTTATACTTAAGTAATGAGTGTGAATACTTTTGACACATCTGTTCATAGAATAAAATGTAATACGATCCAAAAATATCCCACTTAGTTTTTACATTTCTTGTATTGATCTTGTTTGTATAATCACTCCTGGACCCCATGCAGGATCTCAGATCCATTTTCTGCTTCTTATTTGTGGTCAAGACGTATGAGGAAACAAGTCCAGGTGAGAAACCCAGATGGGCTGGGTGGAAAACCTACAGATGGCGTCTAAGAAACTTCCTAATTAGCGGATCAAACCACCTGCAGCTGACTCCTGATGACAGAGCTCAGGCCACCCCACAATGCTTATTTCAGTTTTTGTTTTAGGGCTCTTGTTCTTTCGGTGATGATCATTATCGCTCTCTCACACCTTACCATAATTGAGGACTGAAATGTGGATGGACCAGTAAAATRAGAGCTTTGCCTCTCAGCGCAGCTCTTTTTTTCCCCGTTCATCTTGACAAATGAAAGTGACACCTTGTTACTGTTGTCCATCCTGCCATCACTCATAAACACAACTCCCAGATACCTGAACTCCTCCGCTTGAAGCAAATCCGATTTCCCAATCCTGAGGGAACATTCTAGAAGAAATCAACATGCTTTGAGTTAAACTGACCCCCCCTAGTTCACACTGTGATACACACTTTCAATTGATTAATTATTGCACAAGCATGTATTTGTACAAAAGCACATATCTGGCAAATAAAATGACTCATAATGAGTCATTTTACTTAACAGATCCCAACATAGCTGCATTTTTTTGCTTTCCCCTTCCCTTTCATATGCATCAGCAATGAAAAATAATTGTSTTATGTAAAAAGGAACTATTAGTCATGGCCAGGTCTACTCGAGTACTCACAGCCTGGTGTAAAATGAAAGGTTTTGAGTGGGTGTGATTGCCGGCGGGTACAAATTAAATAGGTGCACAAGCACCTCATGCAGGTTCCCACACTTGGTTTCTAAGGCTCTAATCAGGCAAATCTTTATTGGCCTGTCATCACAAATCTTTTACAAAGCTTGAACTTGTTATGTATGAGTTTCTATCTACAAATACTTGACATACCAAATTTTAACTCCTGTTTTTTTTTCTTACCTCTTTTTTTTTCCATTATATTCTGAGATTAATAAAGTTTTATCAGCTAACATAATGAACAGAGGAGGAAAAAAGAACCTGTGTACAATCAAAATCCCTTATCAAGATGTTTTTTTATCAATAGTTTGCATGTGGATTGTACGGTAACTGCTTAAGCCATAAATTGTCTGTGCTCGAAGATAGTTGTTTCAAGGTTATTGTTCCTAGATTGTACTTGGCAAAATGTCTTTGCTGACAGATTCTCAGGAACTCTGTAATGTTTAACAGAAGCATGCCATGTTTTAGTAAGTTTTTCCTGTGAAGTTTAAAACAAGAGTTCTACTCAAATTGATTCAAATTAAAATTTCCACAGTCATTACATTTTTTATTTTGTACAATTAGTGTCTTTTCTTTCAAAGCCCCAATTTTAAATATGCTAGTTTCAGAACCTGGGATCATTTTGTCAGTGATATGAGTTTAGTGTATTCCCCCCAATAAAAGGGAGACACCGCCACCAAGCAAATGATGCAAGAATCTCTTGAGCTTGACTCATAACTTTTATGTGCAAACATGTCAAGGACAAAGTGAACCAGCTGAATAAAAGCAGACCTATAAAACAAACCAACTAGTCAAAGACAGACCCTAYATGACTCGCAAAGATCCACATCAGAGACAATTTGTCCGTAACCAGTTAAAGCTGTAGACCGCAGGAATTTATAGAAGAGTAACCAAAAAAAAAGACAAATTTTTAAATGAAGGACATACAAAAACACTATTGAAGTGAAAATCATGGGAAAGACTTTTAAGACCCATGKAAGAATGTGCCTTGGTCACAGGAGACACAAAAACATATTTTGTTTGATGCAAACCTCAATTTATCTGATCGCTCATGAATTCCATACTCAGAGTTGGCGACACGAATGCGCTGTGAGGATGCTTCCTAGGGAGTGGAGAATTGTTGACTGGTTTTTATAAACATAAAATAAAAATAGTGCTTTAGTGTTCAAGAAAATTGAGACCAGGAAGGAAGTTTGTTGTCAGCGAAACCAAAGATCCACAAACAATTGAAGCTAACAAGCCCATCAGCTCATTCTTTGATGTTTCTGAGTTCCAGAATACAGCTTGCCCTCAAATGAATGTTAAAAATTAACTAGAATAGTTCCTGGAGAAACCATGAGAGGATTGCCAGCTGTGTAAAACTCYTCCTATGTTGCTGTAAAAAGTTGCTGTATACGACTTTTTTRAGTGACCATCCTAAATAWGTATTAAGTCTGTGTTTTCGATTGAAGCAACTGCTTTAGCAAATATTATCTTTAAAGGTCAAGAAATGACTGATTTATAAGTCATTTTGTGTGCTTTCTGGCTGAATTTGTGCTTTGGTACATGAAATATTTTGCTAACAGACATTTTTCTATGCCATTTTTGTCATTTGTAAGACTTGAATACTCTAATAAAGTGGATCAGTTCTAAAGATTTTTCACACTTAATTTCACACATTATATTTAGGATGGCCACTAAAAAAGTCTTACACAGCAACCCCTTATAGCAGTGTTTCCCAAAGTTGGGGTCGGGACSCAAAGTGGGGTCCCGAAATATCAAAGTGGGGTCCTGAAAAGATTTTCTGAATTAATTACATTTTTGCCTTAGTTGTTACAAAGGAGTGAGGTTAGTGTATTTAAAATGGATAAATGTAGTATAAAAATATTGTTACTATGCCCATGTTTAGTTGACCCGATACAAATGTTTATCATCCAAAAACAGTTGGMGGCACAGGTCTCTGCTACTGTTATTTTGTGGGTCAAAAGCTGAAAAGTTTTGGAACCACTGCACTTTGGTTCCCAAAGTGCGGCTTGGGTCCCAATTATGGGTCATGAAGCACCTTGGATAACTCCAGAAATCAATTTAAAGGGTAATAAAATAATTGCTGATGTAATATTTCCCTATAATTATTACAAAAACACAAAATAAGTATAAGTATTTATATTTGTGTACAAACTGTTTAGATTGTCAAAAGGCCTGTGTTTTTAGGGTTATTAACAAAGTTCATGTACTCAGACCAGTAATATTTGGGGTCACAAGTTTTGACCATGGATATTTTGTGGGTCAGAAGATAAAAAGTTTGGGAACCACTGCCTTATAGCAACATAGGACGAGTTTTGCACAGCTGGCAATCCTCTCATAGTTTCTCCAGAAACTATTCTAGTTTTCTAATATTATAACATATAATTAAGTGTTTCTGAAGACTTTGAGTGTTAGATATTGGTGTTGCTTCTTAGACATTTTAAAAGTTTTGAATTTGTTTAGAAATCTGTCAAATTAAGACCAAACTGACCAATACAATTAAATGTGAAAGCACAATAAAACAAATAAATAAAATACCAGCCAAGCAGACAGCTCCCACAAAAAACAGTTTATTTGACTTGTCGAACATTATTTACACGACTCCAGAAAAAGCACAAGTGCCAGATGACAGTAATGAAGAAGACAGTTCCTACACATCATATAAACATGGTATTTTAAATTAGTCTTACATTGCTCTAAATGTGTTTTCATAAATCAACATGTATACAGGATAGGAAAGTCCTTCTCCAATTGAAAATGCTCTTACAAAACACCTCTGTTCGCCTCACCGTTTCTTTTTAATTATGACACCGTTCTTGGTTTTCCTCCCAGGAATATTCAAAAGATTATAAATAATAAGGCAGCACTGGTCGTGGTTGATGCCCTTTTGGAAGGATTTTGGAAAGTGCACTTCAGGACCAGGTTTACATTCCGGTTTTGCTTGCTGTGCTCCAATATTCCGTGTTTTACAGGGACGGTTCAGGAAGAAGTGTAGAATGGTTAATATATATAAAAAAAACAGTGCTTGTTTCTTTTTTTAAAAAAGTGGTAGAATTGTTGCTTTTTTCCTAACATAAATTGAGTTCTGGCAATTTTTCTGACTGTGCACTACAGAATATTACTTTTTTGATTAAATCTTTTCCACTCTGTGGAGTGTGCTGCATCTAAACAAAAAAAAGTCTACTTTGAAGGCATCAGCGGCTATTTCACAAAGCTTGTACTGTTATTTGATGGGTGTTTTTTGTGTATTTGTGCTGTATGCAGACATATTATCCAACTTGTTTCAGCATTTCAAGAGAAACTTGTCTGTCGTCTATCACAGGTTAGAAGAAAAGATGGCAGCTGGCAGAGAAGCTCACAGATTCMATCAAGAAAAAAATGTGACATCACAGACTATTGTCAGCTCGAAGCTAGGCTGTTAGCAACAGTCTCTGTCCTGTATTGCAGCTAATAAAGTCTCACAGCTAACGCACCTCAAAAACTTGCACTACCACATTTTAAACTTCAAAAACATTCGTAAAGTACAAAATTTCAAGGCAAAAGAAAGACATTCAGAAGTTAATTTGCGCTACAGTGATAGAAAAGAGAGAACGGGAAAAAAAAGGGCAGTAACAAAGCTTCGTTTGAAAAATTTCACAACAACGTTCACAGAATTAACACAGCAAAACGAGTCGACTCAAGACCATCAGTGTCAGCTAATAGGCACCACTGCTAAAATGGTAAAGAGTTTCTATAGAAAAATCACAAGTGAGTGGTGTTTGTGTACGAATGATACAAAAAATACTGACAGCTACTGGCTTGTTCAAGTAAAAGACACACGACGAAGGGAGGTTTTTACAGCTCAGTTTGGAATAACATGAAAACTGAAAATAAGAGAGCAAGTCTAACAGCATATGTGTGAGTCTTTTACAATTTTAAACAACATTCATTGCCTGTTTTCCATTCAGAATTATTACATTCACCATGTTTGCGTGTTTTCACATTTGGGTCCCGGATACGTTCCCTGTGTGTCTTTACGTTGACCAAACCAGGCTGTGACAGTGAAAGGCACTATCGCAAAGAAATTACTGCATCACAACTAGACACATATTACATTAGAACAACGCAGAACACATTTTCTACATGACTTTGTGTAAATTCGTCCATGTTAGGTGACAAGCTGTTCATTTACAGTGACAGAATAAACTAATAATAAAAATTAGTTAATTAATAATAATTAATTTGCAAGTTCTCAGAGTCAAATAAAGTTTATCTTACTTGCATTTTAAAAAGGTCAATAGATTTTTTTATTTATTTGGCTAAGAAGTAGTGGTAGACACCCAAAAGGATCCAAAGTCCCCATACCATAACAAAAAACAAACAAAACAAAACAAAACAAAACAAAACATGATGTCATCCTCCAAACAGACACAGTGCCATTTCAGAGCATCAACAGAATTAGGATTATCATCTTCTTCTACTGTTCCCAGTCAAAATCCACAAATTACAGTGATAATACGTAATTCATGCCACTTATCCTTTTATTCTACACTTTTACAAGAGATAATTTATTAGAAAAAGTTTTTTTTTTAGCTTGAAAAACTACTTTATATAGTAGAATTTCAAAATATCTGTTTTAAATGTTAGAATGGAATAAAATAGCAATAATCAAATAATCCACATGTGATAATCCAACACAAATTGATCATTTTAGTTGTACAATTAAATTGAACAAAAAAATATATATAAGCTATTTTATGGTTACGCTTATGAGATTTGATCTCTGATTGTAACTTTGGAAAGAAAAAAAGTTGGGCATTAATTCATCTTTTTATCGGATTCCTATGATGGAAGAACTAGAAGGCCCTTTGAGTTCAAACATATTTGCTCGATCTTTATCTAACTGCTTCTTTTCCCCACATACGTGTGTATGTTAAAGATTGAACACACTTGTGTACATTCACCCACACTAAGATCCACACTCGTACTCAGCACACACATACACACACAGACAGAAACACGCAGTCGTACTGTCGGGCCTCACATTAATTTAGCTCTTTGGGACAGAGTCTAACAGTGAGACTGCCACTTTGCTTGACTGAAGCAGGTGCAGTCAGATGATCATTGCTGGGTGGCGGGCAGTAGGTTGCTGAGGACTGAAGAAAAAGAAGAAAACATATAAATGATCAGGACTACAATATTGTTTATGCCGATGATTTTCTTTCTTTAAAATGTGTTAGGTGTGTGTGGATGTGTGTCTGTGGCATACCCTGTGGATCGGACTGAGCCTCGGCTGCATCTGCTTTGACTGTGTTGTTCCCAGTCTCCGGATCTGCTCCTAATAAAGAGGATAGACAGAAATAAGTTAAAATAAATAAATAAATGAAATAAAAAAGCACAAAGCAAGTAGGCCAAGAGGCATCACGCTAAAGGGCTAAATTTCAAGCGCATTTGGTCTCATAATTTGTTTCCTCTATTTTAATAGGAATCATGTTACAGTCGCACCAAACCACGAGACAAAAGGGGATTTTATTTTATTTTTTTATAAATTTTCCAATCATAGAATCACACGGCTTTACTGGCTTTGGATTAAACATCAGATAGGGAAAGTTTTCCACAAATGCTGATTTATTACAGTTTTAACTGCAATGTCATTGCTGCCGTTAAATTTAATTTCATCTCAATTTGATCAACTCGTAGCTGTTAAGGCACAACTTCCTGCTTAGCAACTTCCGACATTTTACCTTCACACTTGGTCATTTCATTCACACTACTGAATGGGGTTAGACTTTTGTAGACGAGCAAGACTTCGGATTTTGATTTCTGAAGAAAATATTCGACCATCAGAAAAATTCATAGTAAAAACCTCATTCTGAAGCTAGGTTTTGATCTCCACAGTTACAGGCTAAACAGGCTGAAGTTCATGTTGACAGTGAGGTCAAACTTTGCTGAAATGGCAGTACTGGGATGCAGGAGGTGTGCGAGCTGAGTGTCCTGGTCTAAACTTACTGAGACATAAAGCTGAGTCTGTGGTTTCTGGTGACGACTGACCTTTAAAGAGTTTTTCTGCTTTGGGTGATTGTAGAAAAAAAAAGAGTCAAAGATGGTGGCAGATCAGTTTAACGTTAATCTATTTTACCTAAAAGAATGATGCAAATAAGAAAATACTTTTAACATGAAATCTTGTTTAGGAGGAGCGGTTACTGCAAAATCAGAAGGTTGGTGGTTCGATCCCAGCCTCCTCTACTACATGTTAAATTGTCTGCGCAAAGAACCCTTATATTCACTGGTTCTGCTAACCAGTGTGTGTGTAATTGGGTGAATGTGACCTTATATTGTATAAAAGGTGATTTGAGTGTTCAGTCAGACTAGAAAAGTGCTGTAAATGAAGTCCATTTACCAAACTAACTACTGAGCAGAAACTGCCTCACAGTTCATTCAGTGGCTTTAAGTGTGAATTATAGGCCATATGAGCTTTTCTCTTTGCTTTATTAGCTTTATTTGCACATTATATAATTACCCCCACTGTTTTTGAAGCACAGCTTCTTCTTCTGATAGGCAAAGTATCCTGTCACGGCTCCAACGGCAGACACAACAATTGCAGACAGGACTGCTGCTAAGGGTTTAGAGTTTCCTTCTGTGGAAAAACAAACAAATGAAAAAAAAAACATTAAGATTAGTGATACCAAAGAATCAGAGCAAACATCATTTGCAAAGTGAAACATCTCAGCTGGCACAACGTTTCCACTGTTAACCTGAGGGTTTTACCATTGTCACCTTTGTAATCAGTGTCATTATTGCCATTTTTCAGCTGAAAGAATCCACCTCATTTCAGCAATGAGGGGATAAAATATGCTAATGACTGCATGTGTTTGAGCAGGAAGCATTTAGGTTCTTTCCATTTGTCGATCATGATTTTTAGACTCTTAAAAGCATTTGCAGCAAAGACTCAAAGAAATCTTCCTGCACCTGTACTCTAGTTCCTATGACAACCCCCGTCTGAATGGTTTTCAGGAGCATTGCAAGCATACAGCACAGTAAAAATACTGGTCAACATGCAGCAAAATAAAGTAAATGCCATGTTGGTTTGTGCTATATGTTCCCATCACCTGTTTGCAGTCTGTACATACAGTTCATCTTTGACAGGTAATGATCAAACTTACAACAATTTAACACACATCTATCACATGTAAGGAATGTGCCCCACATTGCAGCTTGACATCGTATTGAAGGTCAGCTGAACAAGGCCTTTTATTGTGCTTGGAGGAGTTTCAGTCAACACGGAGTAATAAAGGCAAGACGTGACGAGGTGACGTGAAAGGTGAAACGCAGAGGAAAGGGGGGAGGTTGTTGACTTTCGGGTGCAAAAGAAAACTCAGCATTTTGCACTCTTTCGAAAAAGAATTAAAGTCAACCTAAAGACAGGAGGAGGTGAGGAAAACTATGGAAAAAAAAGCATGAGTCAGAGAGAGAATAAAAGAGTTTTAGTCAATGAAATTAGGCGGGACGAAACAGGCGAGTTTGGTGAGTCAAAAGGAAATACACGTGGTGCAGACAGGCATGAACATGCATGGACACAAATACACAACTGAAAGAGAAAACAGTGATAGAAACTGACACTGAATGCGTTTAAAACCATTTAACATCTTTAGGTCAGCACTGGTTAGGTAAATAGTTGTAGTTTAGCCTGAAATCATTTCTGCAACTATGCAAAGCCACTTTTATGTTCAAAGGTTTTGAAAATGTTGTGTTGGGAAAAAAAAACCTGCTAAGCTTTTTGTGTGACACTAAACAGTGGGTCAAATATAATGCTGCAGGCTTGTTTGAGATAGAGATSGGAGGAAATTGTGTAAAATGAAAGAAGGGACAGTGGTAACTCACCTTGGGTTGCCGTTTTTTCTGTGATTGAAAACAGAAAACAAATTTAGGGCATAACATAAAATGGCACCATTTACAACATATTAGACGTCAGATTTATGCAAAACGTGCTGTTGGGAGTTATGCAAATAATCAGTGAGGCAGTTTACCTGCACGCACCTTTCATACAAGTCACATTCATGCACGAATCAGCACAAGCTAATGCTAACAGATATAAKATGATACATTTATTTCAAACAGAGGAGATATTATTGTTCTGAGGCTTGTATCCTGTTGGTTTTGTCAAAGGCATGTCAGTAATATCCTGTGTGTTTCAGCAGGTTTTCAAACAGCAAAAGCCCCGCTGCTGCTGAACAGCACAGAATTTTACTGGGATTTCTGGGCTGTGAACAGGAAATGTTTCGATAAAAATGTATGTTTTGCAAAAAAAAAAAAGGCATATTTTGATTTACTGCATGGACACACAAAACAACACTCACCTTCCTCCTTAACAGGTTCTAAAAAGCACAAGAAAAACAAAACAAAAAAAGATGTGTAAGTTTTAGACAGCACAGAGAGAAAAGCTTTTACTTAAACAGGCTGGTAATAACCTGGAACAATTTTGACAGAGATACTGGAAAAAAAAGGAGAGGGATTAGCTTTAATCTCTTTGTGGTAGTTTATGTTTCAGAGGCATTAAGGACTCTTTAAGTTTCTGGCTGAGAAACYCACACAAATTCCCGCTTAACACATTTATTTGTATGCTTTTTAAAGGTAGTCTATGACGTGACATTTCCCGTAGCATTTACCATCATAACCAAACCTGGCTCGGGTTCTGAACCTAAAACTAWATCTCAATGTTAAATAGCCCCTTATAAAAGTGTGAAACTTTGACATCTAAACCAAGTCGATGGTTCTTACAAGGATAACAACCCACGTTCCCTCACACAAACAGAGAAACACAATCAGCTACTCCTTTCCTCTCATAGTGATGCATTATCACCATTATAGCAATAAAATATCAGAAATAAACTCCATTTAGCAATCTGTGATCAGCAATCTGTAAACCAACAACCCTGTTATCGCTTTCCTTGTTTGCCTGTCTGTATCTGTCTGTGACATCATGGCTGCCAACCTGCTTCAACTTGACCAAGCTGCTGAGAACGGGCACTTTCAGAGAACAAAGCCGTGATTACAGTGATTAAAAAAAAGAGTCAAATTTCACATGAGCAGTGAAGAGCAATCACACACAACAAAACATTTTGTCCCTGATCTGCTCTCAAACTGCTTTGTGACTCATGATTAAAGGGATAGCTCAGGTCTTTAAAGCAGGTCTTTGGAGCACTTTAAGCAGGAAGATCACACTATTTCTGCAGAAATGGCCACATGACGCAAAATTGATTACGGTGTAAAGGTTTATGAAATAGCACTTGGACTATATGTTGCAAGTAGACACTGTATTGACAACAAGAAAACTACAATTTTTACTAACCTGCGTTGAAGTTGCCAGTTCTCCGTGTTTTTGTTTGGCCATTATCTGCAGTCCCATCACCCAAAGCATCTGACAAGTCTAACTCATTATATTCTGCAAAGAAAAGAAATACATAAATATATGTATTAGAAATGAAAATCTATATAAACGTCCTCTAAATATATAGTCTCCTTCACACTTGTTTTTTTTTTTTTTCTGTAATTGAACTGTAGTAACATCCAACAATGTTTCACTCCTCAGTTCAGTTTCTCCTTTGGGTACCCTGCAGATGAGAAGACTACGAAACAGAACCGGAAAAGGCAGTAACAGTTATCCTGTGAACCAGAGTTGATTTGCATTCAAGGGTATTATCTGTCAGGAATAATATCTTGCCTAACTTCATATTCACCGGGGAAAATCCCCCAGAGGAGCTTATAAACACCGGAGTTACCTGGGTGTGACTCAGTAAACAAAACAGTTTGGAGGGAGGACGGGGTGAAGCGTGATTAGTGAAATAATTTATGGCTGAAAGGAACTCAGAGGCACGTTTATCCACTGATCTATTAACTCTTGTCCTAATAAAATACCTCACAGCAAGACATTTTTATTGCGCAAGAACATGAATGCTACATAAATTTTTTTGTGTGATTGCTGCATTTAAATCACTATTTTGTATATTTACCCCCATATATTTTACAGTCTTTTTTTTCTCAACATGTTTTTCTTTTATGTGTCACACAAAGACAGAAAAAAAAATCATTGACAGATGACGCAATTTAGACCTTCGCTGATGACCACTTGAGCAACACAAAAAGAAAAAATAAAGGATACACCTTATTTTTGGTAATAAATCTCACAGAATCTATATCTTTACAGAAAGATAAAAAATAGGAGGTAAAACTGTACGAGCCAAATTCCCACCTTCAGTGAACATCTGTTTCTTATATTTGTTCAGGGAGTTTCACTAAGATTATGTGCAATATAATAAATAATGTAAGACATATTCATTTTTTTAAATAACAGCATAACTCTGTTAACAGAGATGTTTAGTAGGATGGAGGCCGAACATGAATTCAGCTGTTTAGTGGGAAACCTGAGATGTAGTTATTTACTATACATTGGTTTGAGGTCAAAATGGACGTCACTGTGGTCTGTTTAAATATGACCGACCCACAATTTAACTGAATTTAAAAACCCAAACAAAAGCATTTAGTRACCACAACAAGAAAAAACAGACATATTTTCTCATTTTAGAGATTTTGAAGTTATCTAACTCATCGGATCCTCATCTTACAGAGCCAGCGAGGGGACATGGGGAGATGTTTTTCTTTTGCCTTACCTCGCAGTATCTTAGCGTCACCTTGCAATATATTTGCGTTACCTCACAGTGCTTTTTGCGTTCCCACGCAAATGTTTGTTTTATATGAATTGAATTAAATTAGACTTTTATTTTGAAACGTCCGGTTATATTGTAGCCACACAATACTAAGTTGAAATTTCAGCAGATTACATGCTTCCATGCATGGCTGTGTAATAGTATTGGTGAGCATGTGAATTTGTTAATAAACCAACAGGCACAACAAAGGAACGCAAAAAGAATTGTGAGGCAATGTGTTATTATTGCGTGGGACTGTAAAAGAAAAAAAATCCCCATGTCTCCTTGCGTGCTTCGTATCACCTATACTGCCTCTTTGGTGTAATAAAATGTTATTGAACTTAAACATTTTACCTTTAAATATAAGGTTTTAAAGTTTTGAAAATATTTTTTGGCACGTTTGTGTTTTGTGTAGTTGTGAGGTTTGGCATTAAATAAGAAGGCATTTATAAATCACATAAAAAATATAAATTTACCTGATTTAACTCCTTGATTGAATTTTACATCAACTACAGGAAGAGATAAAAAAAGAAAAAGAAAACAGTGTTACACTTCCAAGGTAAACAACACAAAAGCAATTTCACATTTTGATCAGTTACAAAAGAGACTTTGAATTGTAATTGTACATATTTGCATTTGCAAAGTAGTTTATGACCTGTGAACTAATTATGAGACAGATTCGATTCAATCAAGATCATGTTTCTTATAATGTTATGAAAAACCAAGTGGCACTAACAGATGCTTTAACTTTTCTCTTATAAACTGATGATCACATTTAAATGTAAAGACTGCATACAGAGACGACCAATCATTTCGTTAATATTTTAACAAAAATAATCCTGAAAACAACAGCTGAATTTTGTAGTCTCGTTTTTTTTTTTTGTTTGTTTTTTTTTATACAAAACCACCTAGCATTTCCTGCATCACATGACAATGTTCACAGACTCTGGTTATGATTGCTTTGCCACCTGMGTCTCAGAAAGCTGGGACAGAAGGGAATAGCCAGAATCAGCTGGGATCCAGCAACAGAAAATCCTCCAGAGTGCTSCCTAGGAAAGGTACATACCGTGCAGAATGTAGAAAAAGACGAAGTATGAAAATTACCGTGTCTTTTGCCTGAAGGAAGTTCTTAGCAGACAAGTTTGACAAATTATAGATTAGGCTGACTCTTTTTCTACTGACATTGATACTATCTGTACTTCAGCGTACATGCTACTGTGACTGAACAGCAGAAAAAATACGCAAACAGTCAGGAAATGGAGGAAGCTGTGAACAACAGATTCTTCAGACAATCACTCAATCTGTGAAAACACATGGGACCAGGCAGACATTATCCAGACTTCATTCTAAGATAAAATGTGATGCTGTTATTAACAACTAAAGCAGATTATAAATCCAGTTTATATGATGGATTTGGGAAGATACAGATTTTTTAAAATGATCACGTTTGCTCTTATTGCAATCATCTTTCAGGGTAAACATTCTCTACCTCTAGATAAAATAAAACCTGAACGTCATTATCATCAACAGGGCAGTGTTGGGTTTAGGTGTGTGACTTCCAAAGAAGCTCTCAGAGGAAAATGTTCTGTAAAGGTTGTTCAGTGGAAAAATAAAAATGTCTGCAAAGATTATTTCCTTGCTAACTGGAAAGATTTAAGATGTGTTATTTTTCTAACAAGTTCGAGCAGCTCTCAGACTTTTCTTTGTGCTCACAGACTTAACGCTCTGCAAATTAATTAGCAGCTGGAGTCGATTTGTTTGTCTTCAGTTACAAATYAAAAAATAATGCAATTGTTTCAGTTTCCAAACCATTCGTTAGTGGCAGAAACACTGCTGTTCGGACTAATCGTCTGCCAAACAGAGACTAACAAACTGGTGTTAGGGCTGACCACAATAGCAGATCCCATTCACTGACTGGTTCTAGATGGTTCTTATCAGACAGATTGGTCAAAATTTGCCGGAGACTTCAGACTATTTCTGTTTAAACTAAACCACCTGGCACATCCAGTTATAGACCCTGCTTGCCACGATGTAGCTCCATTAAAATGTATGACACGTTTGGTAAATGGCCTTCTGTCATTATTTATCTGAACAGGGAAGAAAACACYAAGTAACATTAGTTCACACAATGAATGCAATTTCATTCAGAAACACAACCGACTGCATTTTATAAACTGACCTACTCCCGAATAAAACAGGTTCAGTTAAAACAAAAGCCAATAGCTTCTTGAAGAGTCATTTCTTTATTTCAACATGGGGCAAGGCGTTGTACTTTTACTCTGTCAGTATCTCAGTATCTTATCTGCAGTGGGTGGGGCTCAGAATAATCCCAGTTTTAAAAATATGAGAAAAAAATGGCCTAACCAGTCACAAAACTAAAGCTACTCATAATGGAGCCAACAAAAACATTTGGGACAACTCACACCTTTTAAACATTAATCGGTTAAGTAGATCCTATTGTGTGCACTTTTACAGAATATTTGTCAAACCAATGGTCAATACGAATTATTTCTAATAAAAAAAACCACACAAAATAAAACAGAAAATCCTTTTAAGGCTGTCCCAGAACGAGAATATGCAGCATATTTTTGTCATACTATACTGTCACATGTTTAAAATATCATTGGTGCTTTATGGCAATCATATTTTAACAAGCTTAGAAGATCTGGATATTGTTAACGTTTTGGATCATGTCTGGCCATCAGTAAAATGCTTTTTTGGAAGTTGCCAGTGTATATACAAAAGTCATTACTCTGAAAAACAACTAACAAAGGGATTCCCTTTGTTTCCAAGCACAAAGCACTTCATGGCAAACTATGCAGGAGTAACTAGATACAAACACTGGTGACCTTCTTTTAATGCATAGTTCTAATGTCACCAGTGGGAAATCAAACTGAACCATTTTGAACTAAAATTGACCTGGAAATAATTAGGACAATCACAACCCTTGTATTATCAGCTAAAATATTACTTTTTGTTTGATATAGCATCTTTTTTGTCAGACTTTTGTCTGAAACCACCTTTTTTCCTGAACATATGTGTAGATAGAATACACAGTAGAATACACAGTATTCTGTTTGAAAAGCTAAATAAATTTGGTATTAGAGGACCTGCATTACAGTGGGTATCTAGTTATTTGTAAGATAGAAAACAATTTGTAGAAATAAATAATGTAAGATCTGAGTTTTGTAACATCTCATGTGGAGTGCCACAGGGTTCCATTCTCGGACATAAGTTATTTATTTTGTATGTGAACGATTTGGTAAATGTGTCGGATCTTTTTGGGTGTGTCGTATTTGCTGATGATACAACATTCTTTCGTTCCAGTAAAGATATAAAACAAATGTTGGAGAAAGTACAGACAGAATTTGTGAAAATACAAAGTTGGTTTCAACTAAATAAATTATCATTAAACTTGGACAAGACAAATTATAAGATTTGCTGTAACAATAAGTGAACTATAGATGTTTCATTTAAAATTGATGATGTTGAGATCTGTAGAGTCAGTAAAGTGAAGTTTCTAGGTGTTATTATTGATGAAAAACTGACATGGAAAAATCATATAAATGGTTTAAGAACAAAAATAGCCAAATCAGTTGGAGTCTTGTACAAAGTAAGAAAACTGTTCAATGATAAAGCACTGTTTATGTTGTATAACGCTATAATTGTCCCACATTTAATTTACTGTATTGAAGTATGGGGTAAAGCTTGTAAAACTATCACAAATCCTATTTTTATTTTACAGAAAAGAGCCTTAAGAATTATTACTAGAAAAAATTACAGCCATCCATCAAATACAGTTTTTCATGATTTGAAATTAATAAAATTCCATGATTTGGTCGATTATAATATTTTGCTGTTCATGTACAGAGCTCATAAAGGTGTGTTGCCTTCCAACATTCAAGTAAATTTTGTTAAAAGAGAGAGCTGTTATTATCTTAAGGGAACTGAAATGTTTGTAAAACCCTGGTTTCGTACGAGCCTGAAGGAGCAATCCACTTTAATCCAGGGAAAAAGGTTGTGGAACAGCATGAAAGATGAGGTTAAAAATGCCAGATCCTTGTATATATTGAAGATAATGATAAAAACTAGTATTCTGAAGAAATATGGAGAAGTAAAGGTGAATTTATGCTAATTGTTGTTTGAGTTGGTGACTTAAATTTTGTTTTTAGTTCATTTTTGAGTGTTTTAAGTTGTTTTGATTTTTGTTGTATTTTACTTTTCTTTTGAACATATTTTGGGGATAAAAAAGGGGCAGATATTATAAGATTTATTCTTCTTCTGCTGCCTTTAACTTTATTTGATTTTATTTTTATTGCATGATTTAATTTGTGTTACAAATGAAATGAATAAAGTGAAGTGAAATGTAGAAGGTGCGGTGTGTACAAATCTCACTTTCTGGCTCTTGATTCAATGGAACAAGGGTTGTTTTCTCCTCTATTAGTGCAGGTGGGGTTTTCTCGTCTCCTCCAGTCTGTTGGAAATACACCATACAGCACACGAACATGTATGATCGGAGAGGATGCCTCATGACAAAATCATTTTCTATCACATGCTTGTTGAAGAGTTTAACGGATACTGACCTCTTCTTGAATTGCTGGTGCATCAGTGACTACAGGAACGTGCTCTTCTACACGTTGTGTCYTCTGCTCAGTCTCTACACCAAGCCCTGAACCAGCACCTGGGTTTGAGGAGGAGGAAGAAGAGGATACAGGACGTCATCGAAGTCTAAAAAATGTTACCGTTATGCTTGTGTGAAAGAACAAATTTAATATTAACTATTCTTATCCCAATTAAAAATATTTAGAATACCTTTGACCTCAAATTGACCAAATTGATTTTTAATATTTGTATTAAAAATAAATGTTTTAGGAAAGCACTATTGACAGAATCCAACAAGAAAACAGTAAAACATGTCAAACGAGCAGATCAAATATTTATTTTCTTTACTACCTTGGGTTGTAAGAACTGCCTCTGCCACAGTGGTTTCAATTAGCACATCACCAGGAGTGGGAGCCTCTGTTTCTGTGTCTACTTCTTTAGGCACCGTTGGCTCTGGTGCAGGAGTTGTTTCTGCATCTGCAGGTACTTCTGCTTCAGGAGTTGTTGCTTCTGGTTCTTCTACTGTGGCTTCTGTTGCTTCGTTTGCGCCGTCCCCATCTTCTGCTTCGACGGTTGGTTCTGCGTCTTCTGAGGGAGTTGCCTCTTCTGAATCCAAAGGTGCCAGAGTCACAGCATCTTCTGCAGTAGGGTCAGCGTCTGGCTCAGGATCAGTATCTGCTGGTGTTGGGTCCTGTATTGAGCATAAACAAAAACAACAACAACAACAAACAAACAAACAAAAAAAGAACTCATCAAGGCAAAGAAGCTCAGGGTACATCTGTTTCGTGACTACGTGTGGTGAGATAATTACAGTAAACCGTTTGTGTGGCAGAAGTTTAAACAAAGATTAGCTGTTAGAACAGTGATGTCCAATCGTGTTCTTTGAGGGCCACATTCGCACATAAGATGTTTCTCTGCTTCGACACCCCTGATTTGAATAAATAAGTGATTATCAGGCTTCTGTAGAAGTTGAAGCATCTCTAAAACATGGTGGATAATGGCCCTTGATGACCAGCTTTAGACACACTGTCGAATTTCATTTTGGGCCTTTTTTTAATTGTTTTGATTGTTCTTGGTAAAATGGTTTTGTTTTGTTTGTTTCGGTCAGACAGTGAAATGTGTTGATACGTGTAAATATTTTGGTGCAGTTATTGACAGTAAACTGTCCTTTGAGGCAAGCTGTGAAGCTGTCATTAAAAACGGGAACCAGCACTTATTTCTGTTCATCCTTTAACATCAACAAAACTCTGCTGACTGTGCTTTATCGTGCTTTTATTGAATCAGGTTGCTTAGTGTCCTGGTTCGGCAATATTTCTCTGAAAAATAAGAACTGCCTGAACCYAATAGTGAAGTGGTCCAGTAAACTGACGGGAAAGATGCCGCTACTCCAGGCAGGCCCAGAGGTCTTCTGGGTCCATTTTAAAAGACGTGTCTCATCCTCTGAACCACGATTTCTGGCTCCTCCCATTAGGATGCAGATACTTAGTACCAGAATGTAAAACTAAGCATTTTAAAACCAGCTTTGTCATCATTTTTTAAATTCAATTAAGCATATAGTGCTCATTATTTTAACCTGTTATTTATATCTTGTTATAATGGGTTTTATTTTGTTTTATTGGGTTTTATCTGCTCCCTGGTTTTGTCCTGTCTTATCTTTTTATCTCATTTTATCTTTTTATTCTGATGTTTTTCAAGTTGAAAGTTGTATTTATTTATTTTTATATTGTGCATCTGGTCACTTTAATCTTGTTGCATCTGCTGTATGTCTTATGTTTTTTGGAGGAAAGACGACTCACTTCACTGTAATCAAATCTAGCTGTGGATACAAATAAAGTAGCCTGGTAAAAAAACAGCCCCTTGTCCTTCGCTTTGCTTCATACAGAAGATCTGGACTCTCGGCTATTGCAATTTCTTGCTGGAGGTGTGAACTCAAAGTTTAAAACGAATTGATCTGATTTACCTAATTGCTAAAGTTTGGCCGTGACGTAGTGCGCCAGCTCGACCATGAAGGAAGCTATGCTAAAAAGCTAACTGGAAGTTGCGTGCGCTCTAAACAACTACCCTCTACTGGGAAGAGAGAAGTGCCAAGCCGAACAAACTGGCTGTAAATGAGTGCTGCAGGGCTTCATGAGACAAATTCCTGTCCACACGGACTGGCTTTATTCACTTCCTCTGCTGCCGTTGCTAAACTACAAGCTGACTAAAAAAACGGCGCCGAAAATCAACAGCGTTGTTCACAACTCCTCATTTTGTTCACTGATTTGCCTGGTTGAAATTCTACCAGAGAAATCCTTGTCTTTGGGAGAAATTATGGGGTGCCGTTTGTAAAGTTACAGAGTCAAAAGTTACCACCAATATTTTTTTTTATTTAGCCNGGTAACATTAAAATAAAGTTGTGCAAAAAGAAAAAAAAGAGGGTAACCAAATAAAGTGATGCATTTATTACTGTAAGATACAAACTTACAAAAAAGAAGCTGCTCATAAAAAAAGGCTTCATTTATTTTCAGAAGCAGAAAGGGAGGCAAAAACTCTAAATTGCTTTTTGTAAACGTGTCCCCTTTATTGTGCTCAAAGTAAAGGGACAAAGTATAAATTCATTTTGATATAGAGTCTGGAGTTGTGTTTATTGTCAAACATGACAGTCACCACACACTCACACACCAACGCTTCGAGCCACACCCTGTCCTTGATTGATCCCTGCTGTTATGGATTACACCGGTCGCGTCTGACCTGCACCAACATTAAATGAAGTCTCAAACTCAGCGCAGGTGTTGCAGCTNCAAGTAAAACACCTTCTAATATTTATACTGTCGTTTAATGATGCTCTTTTTCTAGGTAAAACAATACATGTAAAAAAAGGGTGCAATAATGGGTTGGAAAGTGGCCAAAGCACGTCTAAAGGGAGATAATTAAAAACATTCACTTATAGGAAGGCCTCAGAACTGCAACTCTTTTCTTTATTAGGTTGGCATAAAAACAGTGTTTTTATCCACTATTACAACTTTCATTGCTGAGAGTTTTCAAAAGGTTCCTCTGCTTGCCGAGTGAGATTGTATCAGAGCCAGCGAAGCCTTAAGGGGAAAACCAGCATGAACAATATCTAAAGTATTTCTATCACACCGTAAATCCTCTGCAGGGCAAGATGTACTGGTGACACCCCGACTCTTCATTCTCAGAAACATCTTTAAAAAAAACTGTCATGCACACTTCACATGAGCGTGAATTTTCAGTCTTCCACACACA